CACTATAAGCCAGTATTTTTTATATGTATTCACAAATCTAATTAAGTTATACGAGACAATCATAAAAATTGCTGTGAATTTAGTTAACACTGTTTCCAATGCCTGTCCAGAAAGGCAACCGGTTTTCCAATGCAATCATTTGAAAGTTGTTTCATAAATACAGAGAGAAAATTATTTAAACACTTTAATTGTGTGTTTGAAATTGGGGTTTAATATCAAAAATATGTATTCATTCAAAACTCGTATTCATGTGTATATACCATTCAATAGTGAGAGAGATCTTTACAGTTATTTATAAATTAATTGTTTGAATAGTTTTTTTCTCATTTGATGAGAACCTATGATAACTACATATTCTAGTTATACAATACCTGTTAAAGTCAAACATTACATTGTGTTTTCAGTTTACAAGTGCATTATTATGTATATTACTATTTATGAGTGTATTATAGACGCTCTGAATGTAATAGTGGTGCTAACAAAAAGTCAATAATAAAAACTTTTAGCAATAGTTATCATTATATATTTTCAGTTTACAAGTGCATTATTATGTATATTACTATTTATGAGTGTATTATAGACGCTCTGAATGTAATAGTGGTGCTAACAAAAAGTCAATAATAAAAACTTTTAGCAATAGTTATCATTATATTTGACATAAAAACGGCAAAAATATATTCAATTCTTGTGTCCAATACTTCAAAATTTATACTCAATTTCTATTCTCTCTCTTCCTTTGCCATTAAAATAGTCGAAAAGTTTTATAGCAAACAGTTTTCTCATCAGAAGTATTATGAAAATAAATTTGTGTTTAAAATAATGTTTCAATGCTTTCAAAACGCGTACAAATAGTAAGCAATTAAAAGTGATTAACAACTATTTGCTAATAAAACTTCATTTCATTCACCAATCAATTAGTCACTGATTTTAATGGCTATAGTGTTCACTGTATCGAGCAATCGGTTCACCGAAAGGCTATCACTGCCAGTGAAAGGATATCACCTGAAAACCCCGGAAGACCTACAATCAGCACAACACACATTTGCATCGTTACGGCACCGGAACGCACACCTAATCTATCACCTGATCGTATGGATGCTAATCATCGACCTGATCGTCAGCCTTACCTTTGTCTGAATGGAGTGGTTGTCATACCAGGACTCGACCCTTTCCATCACCGAACAGAACAGGTAGTACGTGTCCCCCTCGATGTACTTCGGATCCATTAATACTTTAATCTCTTCCCTAATTTAATCCATACCATAAGATATGAGTTATTAGACAAACATTTTTGTTTTCTTAAGCAATTGTTTAGTTTTAGAAGTTTATGTTATTATAATTATAATGAAATTATTTTTTTTAAAGTAAATTATATTTATATTAAATGAAAAGCGAAATAAAAATTTTCATATAAACCTTATGTCTGTCTGACAACCACTGAATTAATTGTTTTGTATTAATGTGTGAGTAATTTAGTGATTAATTTTGATTAATGGATTAGTGTTTTGTGTGGTCACCCATACAGCCAATGAAAAAATCAAACAAAATTATAATTATAGTAATTGTCATTAAATATTTAGATTAAAATTCACTAAACATTAGACATAAAGGGATTAATAAATGACAACACAATAGACTATTTTTAAATCAATTAAACGCTTTATAAAAAAATAACTAAAAATCTAAACATTAATATCGACTGCAATCACGACTAATGGACACAAAACTACAGGAATTATAAAATAAGACAATGAGTGGTAAATATACTCAATGAGTCCAATCTCCTCGGCGTGAAGGAAGGTCTGGTGATCGCAATGTATGACAAACAGTAACGGCGCCAACAGCTCATGCATTCCCTATGAATATAAAAGCGTGTGTTTAATAATCGTATCATAATTTCATAGATAATAACAATAATAATAATAATTAATAAATCGTGACATAAAAAACTGCAGACAATAATGGCATCAATTCTATAGATCCCTTTCCCCTCCACTGTTGTATAATCCGTACAACAAAAACAATACACAAGAGAGAGACTACTGACCTGTTTATAGTCGATGGACGGGTACTCTCTGGCGTAGTGGAACAGTATGTTAACCATCACCTCTTGAATGGTGGGCAACTGGAAGAAGTCGATTTCGGGGAACGTACGGATCACGTCCTGAGTGATCCGGGACCTCAACTCGCTGTCCGTGAAGTACTGGTTCCACTGACTCTATAGGCGCGCGGGAGGGGACAGACACACAAACATTTATAAAACTAGATTTACAACCAATTATCGCATAAATCAGTGTTCAGTCCACTCGATAAGCACGTACTAATTGAACAGACCGTTTCAAATGACTGATACATACAGTGGTCTCCTGAGAGAGCGGGTTGTCTTCGGTGCGACGGGTGGGGCAGTGATCTCCCCGGCCATTGGCGGCCATCCGGGGGTCTCTGTTGTACTTCAGGCGTATGGACTCGTATTTGTTGCGATACTCGTTAACCTTCGCCACCCTCTCATCGGTCGATTCGGGCAGACATTCCAGGAATACCTGAGTTTTTGTTTGCAAATACCGGTGTTATTACGGCAATGAATAGGAATTTGTGTTTTTTGTGTTGATTTTATAATAGGGTATAGTTTTGGGTGAAACAAAAAGTTGTTTAAAGTTTGAAATTAAAAGCAATTTTAATGCAAATACGGTACTGTAGTGTGAATTAGCAAGCAAAAAATTTTGATTACTGATAATGAGTTATAAAATTTAAATTACTTGTACCGGTAATAATTGTTCAGAATAATTATTTTTTGGTAAATTTTTGTGTTGTTTTTTAAACATAATATCAGATTTATTATGTTAATGAATAGTAATTTTGTTTTAATTTAATTTAAAGTTAGAAATAGGCTATAGTTTTGAGCAAAAAAAAGTTATTTAAGTTTGAAAGTTATGTTTATTTAACTCAAAAAGCGTGAAATTCTAGTTATTTTTCATAATGAGAAATATTTTTGTGTTTACATTAAATGCAATTTCAAATCGTAAACACATTTCACGGATTTCTGGCATAAAAATCGCGTTTTCATGCGATTAGACCAAAGGTCTCGCAAAATATAATCAATGCATTCATTACACAAATCGCAACATTTGTGGCAAAAACAAACTCATTTGCGATTATATTTCAGTCAAAATAAACTGATTATACACTAAAAGTCTACCGTCGGGTCCCCCACTCAATACGTAAGTACTCTTACAATCAACACCCGGCGCTACACTACTAGACCTTATCTGGAATACGTACGGGATGTATGTACTTAATGAACGGACCCTAATATAATCACAAATCTGCGAAACCAATGGAAAAACACACAAAACATAACTCTTAATGAGTGTAAAGGTAGCGAAAACTGGTGTTCGCGTCCCGGCGGGGGAACCGATATTTTTGACAGTATTTCACACTTTTTAACCACATTTTGACGCATTTTCATCGACACATACCCTCCAACACAACGATCGGAACCGGCAGCTCCTGAGGCCCGACTGCAGGGCCGTCCGTCTCATCGCACCGACCGCTCCCTTGGCGTGAAATAACGATAAGTACTCCTCGCTGTCGATAAACACGTGTCAAACATGGGATCAATTACTCAAACAAGTGGTAAATGCGGCGATAATGACATACATGTAGTAATTATTGCTGATCTGATCCTCGATGGACCGGTCGTTGGGTATCAGCACCTCTTCGGCCGACTCTATGAGCGAGAAGTCCTCTTCACTCATGACTACCGGTGCTGTCGATGGGAGTGCCGGTAGATCTGTGCCACCAATTCGTGGATCAATTGATTTAACGCTAAATTTGTGGTAATATTTAGAGTAAACACATGTTTTTCAGACACTTTTTGCGGTCATTTGTATGGACACCAGAAATGTATGAATAGTTTTTGGGACTAAAAACAAAACACAAAACAATTAGTTATGTATTGATTGACACATAATAAATATTTGCTGTTTGAATGATAATTACCTTGATAACAGTGGGTTTACGGTGAATTGATGCTGGTCAATTGTGTGATTACACTATATGACACTAAATGATGTATGAATTATACGCCAAAAACATTGATTTTATTGATTATGTATTGGTTTTGACGGCAATCACTAAATGCTAGCGTTTTTTGACTACACTTTCCATTGAATAGCAAACACTTGGCATTGCGTTAACATATGTTTGTAGAGTTTTGTTGACTGATTATCATTGGATAGCGTTGTATACGTGCAATAGGTTTGCCTTATAGACTGTACTCTATGCTAGGATTTGTAGACGAGTTTTTGTACACAAATTATGCATTTTTACGAGTTTTTGATTAAAAAGTTTTTTGAAAAGTTTGTTTAGTGGCTATTCTTAAGTTTAATTATGATCTTTATCATTTGTAAATCAAATTATCATGTAATTTAATAGTACACATAGTTACTAGACATGTTTACCATGGTTAGACTCTATTAACACCTGTATATGTCAACTAAAAAAAGTCTATAAAATATTGGATTCATTGAAGTGTCACATGATATCAATTGAATCGTTGAAAAACTTTTTTTCAATTGTAGTGACAATTAAATCATTAAAATTTATGTCTATTATACGAGTCGTACGTAAAGAGACTCCAGTTTTGTGCACTTAAACCAGTTTTGCATCAAATCTGTGGATAAATGGTGTTTTGAATACAGTTTTTGTGACAACTCTTGTAATCAATGGTTGGCTACGATATCAACCGTTTTGTGGACCAAACTATCATTGAGTTCTTGGGACACACTATAAAGTGTGGCATTTGTCTCAGTATATATGACAACCCTGTGATCACCCGATGTGGATATACCTATTGCCACGACTGTCTCAATGAGTGGGTGACAGACCCGGCGCACAGGGATTGTCCGCAATGTCGTCAACCGTTGGCCACCAGACGTAGGACTAGGGATGCGGTCGAAGACAATCACATCATTATAATCGGTGGCAACGTTTTGGTGACAAAAAACTCCAGTATTAATGAAATCATCGATAAATTGGAAATAAAATGCGATAACGAAGGGAACGGGTGTCCAGTTGTGGTTGAGTTGCAGTCCCTGTCCACACACGTCAAGTCGTGTCCATACAGTATATGCGAGTCGTGTGGTCTCCCCAACGGACCCGATGATCATAACTGTGTGGTTGAGCTCAAGAAAACCAGGGATGAGGCGATGGATAAGTCCAACACTTTGGAGATAACTAACAAAACACTTGAAACCGAAATCTCGACTCTGAAACAGAGTGTGACTGACCGGGACGTCCGCATCCAACAAATGTCGTCTCAAATAAGTCTATTAGAGACCAATCTATTGCCAAATAAGTCGACAAATACTGCAAACCCAATGGATTCTGATGTATGGGTGGAGTACTATAAGTCGTTTTGCGATGAATGCTATTACGGCACACCCGCCGAAACGGACATCTCTTTTTACGGCCGTATTATTTGGTATATTTGGTTAGACAACGATAAAAGCAAGTATCGCATACTTGTGCCACTATAGGACATACAGGTGCTCCTGTACTCCGATAAAGTGTCAGTCGTTTGCATTGAGTTAACGGCCGAAGCGTGTGTTAAAGTCCGCCAACAATTGACCGCAATATATGAGTCCAACGATGAAGCGGTTGAAGAGATTAACAAATATGATGTCAATGCTCAGGGTAATTATTTGTGTATATGTACTATTATTATTCTGTTATTTGTAAATGTTTTAAAATACAATTTGATTTCAGATCCAATGTATAAATATATTGCGGTTAAAATGTATACCCCTTTTGATAACAAAGCAAAAAGCAAATGTGATCTGGCTCATATTGGCATTAAGCTCATGGATGTGAAATTAGCAAAACAACTACATAATATAGTCTTAAGTTAAGACTCCTTAATATTGTTCACCAATAAAATCCGCAAAAAATAAAATTCTTAATTTCATTTAAATTTTAAATTTCACTTAAATTTTAGAAACTGTTTGTAATACAAAATTATTTAGATTTTATAATAAAAGTTAAAATGATTTTATTTAATGCTTAAAACTTGATCTAATGCTTGTTTATTGAATTTACAAATAAGTTATAAATTGTTTACAATAGAAATACGCAGAGAATAACTCAAACTTTAAATACAAAATTATAAAGTTTATAATAACTTATAAACACTGTTTCTTATTACAAGTGTATGTGAAATTTTAATCAGCTAAGACATTGCGGAGCACCTGGATGTTTGTTCAATTTGTCAAAGGGTAATAATTTAGCTAGAGCTTATTATTATTTTATAACTTATATAACATGATAATTGTGGCAAACAATTTGCTAATATCCAGGTTAAACCCATGGGCGAAGTCCTGGCTCATAAATATTACTAGAAATTCCAAGAGGTTTTGCTCTAATCAAGGCACTACTCTATTATTGTATAATTTTATTCATGAATTAATTGATTAAAATAAACTTACTTGTTAAAATAATTTAATTAATAAGTATTATAGACTATTATTTATAGTTCATTATATTTTTCAATCATGATAAAATAAATAAATTTAAATATAAGTTACTATTTTGGAGAGAGAGAGAGAGAGAGAGAGAGAGAGAGAGAACATAGTATTCAATTCCTATAGTTTTTCTATTTTTATTGCAAACACATGATTAAACCCTATGAGCACCTTGATAACCTGGATAAATCAACTGCAAAACGTATGCATAGCCACTAATATTTGCTGTAAATGTGGTTTAGTACAGTACAATAATAATATCAAGTTTATAATAAAATACTGAACCAGTAATTAATCATTTGATTAAAATTCATAGACATTCATTCACTTTTAGTACTGTTAGAGTGCCCTTCAGGAATATTCTGTAGGAATTAACCTCTAAGCATATAAATTAATAATTAATATAATTATTAAATAAATTAAAGTTTTATACAAAACCAGATCTGCATTTATTAAACATAAAATATAATAATAGGTTTACAATCAAAGTTTATAGACTGACACTCATACCACACTCCCCGTACTATCAGTCGTACAGTAATTTATATAATAGGTTTGTAATGTAACATGATACATTTTACATACACGGTGTCCACATCGTAAGTGCAATGAAAAACACATTGGATTCAATAGGAAAATTATTTTTATAAATTGACCTGCCTTATTTTGTTTATAGTTATGTCACCGACTTTGATAATTTTATTAATGAGTACCATGACTTCCATGCTACTTATATCCACCATTAAATCGGCTAATAATCTTAGCAGTTAAATTTTAATCCATCATATCATTTAATTATTATTTATTTATATATTTGAGCTAAGACTAGTTATGTGACATTTTAGAATATGCATATTATTTGTCTTATTATGGGCAACAATTTGCACTATATCATGACCAAATTAATTATTTTGTTATTAATTATTAAAACGTTATTGTTAATTTTTCATTACTCAAATTTCATGAAATTCAACATAATTAAATTTTCTCCGAAAGAATGGCCAAGCCTAATAGAATTTTTGCGGGTTAATTACTAATATTTAAGGCCTAGATGTGCTTGTTAATTTTAGCTTTAGTTGATATAATTATCATTATTAGTATTAGATATATATAAGTTTAAAATGAGGTTGTCAAACTTCGGAAGTTTTTGAAAAACTTAATTTAATTCACTTCAATTGACAACTGAGTGGTCATCTAAATTATTAAATTATACTACCGTTGATAGGCTTTCAATCCCACTACTATTCAATTTCATATCATTATTCTAACTGGTAGTTGATTATAAGACCTAATGATCAAAAGACCTAATGATCAAAAGACCTAATGATCAAAAGACCTAATTTTGATCAAAAGACCTAATTTTGGTCAAAAGACCTAATTTTGATCAAAATAATGAATTTTGGACAAAAGATGACTATATAAGAGAATATTGGATTAAATCGGGTTTTTTGCATTTAACCACAAAAGCCCAACTCTATGAATGAATATTGGATTAAAGTCGGGTTTTTTTTTGCATTTTGACTTTAATCCGATATTCGATATGAAAATTAGCGTATACACCCAAAATCTCGAAAACTAAAATCTCGAAAAACAGAATCTCGAATTTCAAAATCTCGAAAACATAATCTCGAAAAACATAATCTCGAAATTTAA